GGGAGGGAAGGAGGTGGAAGAGGGGGAGGGGTGCACGGAAAACAGACGTAGATAAGGTCTGGGCGGCCGCAATCTCTTTCAGAAGCCCCGGCCTTTCAGGCTCCATGAGTAGAGTGGCTGCTAGACGGGTGGTGTAGCCAGCAGAGAGCGGAAGAGGTTACAAGTCGGAGAGAGAGAGAAAGAGAGAGAGAAAGAGAGAGAGAGAGAGAGAGAGAGAGAGAGAGAGAGAGGGGGGGGGCTAGAGAGATTTGATTTATTGTGCAAAAAGAATGGTACATTAGGGCTAGAAGCCCCATTAGTTTGTACCAATTATGAGGTACATAAAGAAACAAAAGCACAGCCAGAGAGAGAGAGAGGGAGAGAGGGAGAGTGCGTAAAGGTATCCAGGTGCCAGGTGCCCTTTTAAATGTAGGACTTATTAGCACCTTTGTTTTGTCACTGAAAGAAAGACAAAAATACTCTACTTTCATATCGTGGGGAATAATTTCGATTACGGCCCCGATCACCAGCGGGATATTTGTCCCCTCCTGGCGGGGAGCGGGGAGGGCACCTCAAGGACGTGAAGTCGGCGGCGCGCGGCCGTCGCTCCCCTGGCCACGACTCGGCGGAGTGGACTGGGGAGGCTGAGGGGAGGGGAGGGGATTGATGTCCAAAGGGTTGGGGGGGGGGGCAGGAGGAGTGAAAAGGGAGGGTCGGGGGCTCACGGGGCTGACACAGCGTTGCCCCTTTCCTTCTCCACGCCCGGTCGGACTGTACTCCTCGACCTCGGGGGTCGGGCGGCGGGAAGGCCGGTGGCCCGCACCGGTGGGCCCACCACCACACACTCTGTCAGAAAATCTTTCCTTGTAAGGGCGTGGTCAAGGTTTCTCCGCGGCATTCACCCTTAGTTCCTTAAAAAGAGTGCCTTCAAGAAGAAATGACTTTGAATCGAATACAAATACAACGGCTGTGGAAACTACCATTCAAGGACAAACTGAGGTAGCGGCCTACAGATTTTAGGGGCGTTTTGTACCACTAAAATAATAGACAGGTCTAGTTCAACGATGAACAAAGCTAAAAAATATACATTTTAAAAATATAAATAAATCAAAAACCACAAATTGAAATAAAAATCTTGACTTTTGCACGGGTAACTTTATAGTCTACTAACATGTGTTTGTAAGAAACATTTCCAGAGTTTTGAACTTGGCCGCTGCTTTGAAGTGGACTGTACCAGTGACTCTCGAGCCTAGCTCGCCTAGCTGCTCTCTAACCGATGAAAAAAAGAAAACACAACAACACAACAGTCCACTAGCACTTCGGCCGTGGTTCATGTGATTCTTAATAAATACTTTTAATATTTTTTTTTTA